GGCCGTACCTGCACCCCCGACCCCGCAGCGCCCGGCTGTACCTGCACCCCCCACCCCGCACCCCCGGCCGTACCTGCTCCGTGAGGAAGGACGGCTTGTAGGCGCCGTCCGTGGACTTGTTCCCCGTGCCGCGCATGGACTTCATGTGCGACACCGCCATGCGCAGGATGGTGAGCTTGTCCGGCTTCCGCGCCAGCGCGCTGCACGTGGGCACCATGTCCGACAGCTCCGTGATGTACTGTGTCATCTTGTTCCTCCGGCGCCGCTCGATCTCGCTGTGGTTCTCTCTTCCCGGAAGCACGGCACCGGGAGGGACAGAGAGGAGCGTCAGCCCGGGGCCACCATGGCCCGGGGACGCCCAGCGCCCAGGACACGGGGCCGAGCTGGCGCGGGCGCCCGAGCCGGCGCCTGTCCCTGTGGGCGGAGCACAGGCTCCTGCAGGTGCCTCGGTCCCGGCTGAGACTAGGTCACTGTCCCCTCATAAGGGAGGCGAGGCTGTCCCCAAAACGGGCGGCCGTCTTTGCTCAGCTCCTGTCTGCACCGCCGGAAAACAGCACACACTTTCGCCGTTAAAGTCAAGCCTCGCTTTGACTAGAAACGCCAGCGTTTTAGAGGCCGAGCGTCCTCCCTGTCCTCCTGCCCAAACGTTCCCCGTGTGGGAGGGTGTCCGATGACCAGGCGTCCGTGATGGACCTGAAGGCCCCGGAAAGCCCTGGCATTTTACAGAGATGCACGTCCCTCTTGGGTTCAGGTCAAGTGCATGCGATCCGCAACCACGGCATGAAAAAGGAACCATAATGAAGAATAACCGCCATGGGGAGGTCAGTGGGCGGGGGTGGGGGTGGGGGCTCCACATGGGCGCCCTCCTTCCAAAGACGTTTTTAAAAATAACCACGGCTGCCCATCCTAACTGGGGACGGTGGGGGCCGGAGGAAGGCGCCCGTCACCGGTGGCCGCTTCCAAGCTCGTCCACATCGAGGCATGTCTGCATGATGGCACGAAGGCCAAAGCAGGCCCCTCCACTAATAAATTGCGTACAGATGAGAATTTTGCTAAGGCTGATGGGACGGTTCATGCCTTTCTCTCAACACTGCCAAACTTCCTACTACAACGGAAACAAAACCAAAAAAGAAAAAGAAAGAAGAAGCAGGCATGGGGGCGAAGCCGCCTCGTCCCTCACCCATGCAGCATGACGCCACTGTCTCCAGCCTTTCTGCCAGGACGGCCTGGCTAAAGACGCGGCCACGTGGCCAGCGAGGGAGACAGTTCCTAGGAACTCAGAGTCCAGTTTTATGTCCTGCATCCAAAATGGGGCCACCCAGATTCCTTCCATGTCTCCTCATTTTGTGATAGAAAAAGGACTTATCGCAACGGTTTTTCTAAACTTGAACTCTAGCTCTGTCTTTTAAAATGCAATCCATGAAAACTGGAAGCCACCGTTTAATTTTAAAAGGCAGCAGAGCCAATAACTTGTTACTTAACTTCCGATCGTCTAGGCTGGGCTGTTGGCAGGGTTGCTACTTAAGCTACCTGTCACCGGGCCCAATACTGGCACGGAACGAGGGACGACCAAAGGGGTCAGGCTACAGGCAGTGGCTGTGTCGATAACAGAGAACATTTAAATCCGTACATGTGCCCATTCGGTGACACCTGGCTATCGGCTTCTTCAAATCGAAGGAACGTAAAGTAACCTCACCTTGAAAATTTGCTGGGACCTTCGCCATCTTCATCGTCAAAGTCCATTCTGAAAAGTCAAGACCACAAGTGAGCATCGTTATCAGTGCAGCGTTTACCTGGAAGCACGAGCCGCCAGCGCGGATGGGCGCTTACTCACGCGGATGGCTGCCCGAGCGTCCCAGGCCTCGGCAGAAACAGTGTCTCTGCACAGCCATCAAACCGGTTTGTGAAGACAAAGGGCAGAGTGCAAAGCCTTCGCTGTGAGCACCGTGGACCACACAGCGGGGAGCCTGTCCCCTCGGAGCCCGCGCAGGGCCCGGCCCTGCTCAGCGGTGCTGGGGACAGCTTCTCCCCTCCACTCCGCCCTGAGACCTGTTCGTTTTATTCTGTGGCACATTAGCGGAGTTGAAAAACCTCCAGGGGTTTTTTAATACAGAAAGTTTTAAGGGTGAGGAAGAAATTCTGAGAAAAAGAAGACCCGCTGCTGGTTGGGCTGTGTGAGGGCCTGGCTGGTCTTGCTGAGCCGAAGCGAAGGGGACGTTCAAGGCCGCGACCCTATGAAATCCAGGCTCCAGAACACACATGCGGAGGGAGAAATGGTCGTTTGGAGCCGGAGCTGCTCGAAGGAGCTGTCTGCCTGTGGAGACTCGCTAAACAAATGCTCAAATTCCCACTTGACCGGGCCTCTCGATATAAGCATTAAACAAAAAGTCTTGATAGATGTTTGTTTAAATAGTACCCGGAACGCTCCTCAAGAAGCCCGTCCTCTGTGATGTCGGTTAAGTTACCCCTGATGACGTCAGGGCAGAGGGGTCCCTCATTAGTATAAGGTTCACCCGGCGTCTTGGGGACAACATGAGAAGTGATCCAAATGTCTTGGCTCTCGGGGACATTCAAGGGAGGGGACTCCTTAGGAAAGAAGGCCTCAGAGCCACTGTCCTCCTGTTCCTAGTGAGACCAAGTAACTAAGTGAGGCAGAGTTCTCCGGGCCCCAAATGAAGCGAGACCATCAATACTCTGCACGGTTACCAAGCCGCCGCCTCGCCGTCCCGAAAATCCCATCCGGACGACAGCAGGGCACACACCGCTGGGGAGGGCAGCGCGCTCCGTCTGCAGGACCACAGTGCCCCCTCGCGGTCGTCACGGGAACGAGCACGAAGCTTAGCTCACAACCCCCCGCCAGCAAAACCATGTCAAGGTTAAGAAAAATAAATCGCTTTTTTTTTTTTTTTTAGGAAATCGCATTTTCAAAATTCCAGTGGATTTAGGCAAGCATTTAGCAAAACCGCAAGTGGGTGCGAGAGGAACAGTTATCTTTAAAATGCCTTTCAGCTCAAGTTGATGTGAGTGTGATCGCCGGGCTCCTGCAATTAGGCTGTCCCCTCACCTCCCACCCCCGTCTGCACGGCCTTTGGGGTGCTGAGGGTGCCCAGCCGTCCTGACTTTCCTGGACTGTGGGGATTCCATCTCTGGGGTACAGGGCTTCTGTGCTAAAACAGGCAGTCCCGGGTCAACCACACGGCTGGCGCCCCAGCTGTCACAATGACAGCTCTGCTCTTTGCCCAGACGCCAGAGGGGCTGACGCGTGGACGTGGGCCATCTGGTCAGCGGCTCCATCTCGCACAGGGTGTGAGAAAGGGGCCGCCCGGCTCCCTGAAGGCCTCTGGGAACTCGGGGGCCGCGACCTATGTACATGAAACGGTGCATGCGTGTGCTCGCGTGTGGGCAGCCATGGCCTTGAGTGACTCAGAACAGCACAACGGGGTGAGCCAGGGAGAGAAACCAGGACACAAGCGGTGGGCACGTCCTCGGGATAAACCAGCGGACCCCGAAAGCCTCACTGCTTATCCGACAACAAAATGAAAAAGCAGCCCCCGAGGACAGAGCCTCTCAGACAGCGCTCACGAAGACTGGGTCTCTGCCGGCCCCCCAAATTCTCTACTTTAAAGGTGACTACGGCGGCTACGCGGCTCCTGCTACGAAAACACTGAGCAAATCGTCCTCTGTTGCACGTCTTTTACGTGTCTCTATTAGGCCGAAACACCTGCGTAATAAAGCAGACGCAAAAATACGACTTTAAAGTGCCGCTGTATTCACCGAAGAATTCGGAGAGGAGTGTGTGACTGAGGGCTTCGGAAGGTGGGCCGGAGGGGCTTGTCACCTCGCTTTGCTGTCAACGAGCACCAGTGCTCACCTCACTCAAAAGCCACCTTTTATTTCTGAGCCTACAATTAGCTGGGAGCAGGGATGTGAATCTCCCTCGCAGCGACTGCGTGATAATCGCAATGCTTCGCCAAACACGAGTCAGTCATTGAACAACTCAGTCACGCCCCCATGAGAAGAGAGACGAGGCCAAGCAATGGGGCTGCCCCCGGAGGCGGCCA